TACTTGAGACTGTCCTTTGGCATGCAGGTCCCATTTTCTAGTTGAACGAAGAGTGCAAATCAATCTAATTTATTTTTCGATCAAAAGTACTATGTGTTTTTCCTTGGAGATGGAAAATTCACCCATCGGATTATATCAACTTACAAATTCTGCCCGAGTTAGTTGAAAGAATAAAATTGGCTGATAATATCACTCGGACTTCTTGTGTAAGAATGACATTATAAACGAGCTACAATACAAACACTATACGGTGTTTAGAGTGCTAAGAAATTGACAAAAGAACTTTGAAAATTCTTGGAGAAAAAGAACAAAAAGAAGATGCTGGCAAAAAGCTAGACAGATTATCTGAAGGATACAAGAAATGAACTTGTTTGCTATTATATCTTAATGTAACAATGTTGGAAATCCTAGAGAATGGTAGGTTGATACTGGTGCTTCTCACCATATTTTTGCTGACAAAGCGATGTTATCTAATTATAAAGAAATCAACGAAGAACAATTGTTTATTGAAATTTCGCAAGTTCTAAGGTTGAAGGATAATGGAAAGTGAATTTGAAGATGACTTTCGCAAAAATCTTGTATTCGGGTCTTTACCTTGTAAAAATGGTTTTAAGCTGGTCCTTGTATTTGACAAATTGTACTCACTAAGAATGATTCGTATGTAAAGAAAGGTTACCTTTGTGATGGAATGCTCTCAAAAGGAATGTTCTTACTATTATATCAAAATAAAACAATAAAAACTCTAGTTCTGCTTATATGCTTGAGTCTTCTTGTTTGTGGTATAATTAATTAGGACATGCGAAATTTAAATATGGGCGTAAGTTAAAGAACTTAAGTTTATTAACTATTTTAGAATTTGATCCTAATTTTGAACACGAAATTTTTGTTGAGGCAAAGTTAGTCATAACTTTGGTTCAACTGTCACAAGAATTATTCATAAAACAACACATTATTCACCTCATTATGACGATGTTGCTAAATACAATAATTAAACTTTTAAGGAGACAATGAATGCTATGCTTATAAGTTCAGGCTTGCCCTAGAAATAAGATACCACAAAAGAAAAAAGGATAAAACTCTTTATGACTAATAGAAAGGACATAAACCTACCTATAAAAACTTGAAAGTGTGGGTGTGTTTGGCAAAGAATGAAGTAAGCCTAAACAGATTAAAATTAGGCCTGGAAAAATTGATTGCATGTTTATTGAATATGATAAATAATAGTAGTGTATATCAGTTCATTATTCAAATATCAGACATTTCTAAGATACATGAAGTTACTATCATTGAATCTAGGAATGCTGCATTTTCAAATATGTCTTTCCATGCAAAGATAAGAAAGAAATAAGTTCAAATAAACGAACTAATGGTAGAACCTAAGTGATGAAGAACCTAGATGCAGTAAATGCCCAGAACACCTACATCCTTTGGTCTAGAATTTCTAACTTATATTGTAAAAAATGTTCCTAAAAATTTAATAAGGTAACATCTACTCTAGAGGCACCGTATTGAAAAGAAGCTATCAAGATGGAATCCGTTATGCAAAATTGCACTTGGGAGTTAGTTGATCTCCCACCGAGAAACAAGCCTCTAGGTTGTAAATGGATTTTTGAGAAGAAGTTAAAACCTGATTGATCTATTAATAAATATAAGAATAGGTTGGTTGCAAAATGATATAAACAAGAGGAAGGCCTTGATTTCCTCAATATATACTCACTAGTGCTAAGAATTACTTCAATTAGAGTTCTAATTGAAATTGTTGTATTACACAATCTTGAGATCCATCAAATGGACTTTAAAGAGACATTTTTGAATGGTGAGTTAGAAAAAGAAATATCTACGGTACAACCTGAAGGGCTTATTTCTCCGAGATAGGAGAATAAGATGTATAAACTCATTAAAACCCTATATGGATTAAAACAAACCTTAAAGCAATGGCACCAGAAATTTGACAAAACAATGTAGTCAATCGATTTTAAAATTAACAAGTGTCATAAATGTGTATATATAAAATCCACACCTAGAGCCTATGTAATTGCATGTCTATATATTGACGACATGTTAATTATATGCAGCTCATGATATTATCATGAGTACTAAGAAATGTTGAAGACATATTTTGACACGAAGAATATGGGTGTTGCGGATATCATATTAGGGACTAAAATCTCTAAGATATCTAATTAACTTATTCTATCCCAATCTCTTTACGTTGAGACTATTCTTAAAAGTATATGATGAAAGTCCAATAAAAACCTCAATTGACTCGAGTCCACACTTAGTTAAGAACAAAAGTGAGTTGGTATCTCAGTTGAAGTATTTCACATGTTATAGGCAGTTTAATGTATATTATGAACTGGACTCATATAAATATAGCATGTGCTATAAACGAATTGAGTAGATTCACTAGTAATCCAAATATCTTTATGTTGAGACTATACTTAAAAATATATGATGAAAGTCCAATCAAAACTTCAATTGACTCAAGTCTATAGTTAATTAAGAACAAAGGTAAGTTGGTATCCTAGTTGAAGTATTCACAGGTTATAGGCAGTTTAATGTATATTATGAACTAGACTCATATGGATATAGCATGTGCTATAAACAAATTGAGTAGATTCACTAGTAATCCAAGCAATGACCATTGAAAGGCATTACATAGGGTTTTTAAATAAGTTATACTTTAAATTTTGGAAGGATGCTGTTATACGAATTGGATATCAGATACGAAGAATTCTAAGTCTACTAGTGATTATGTTTTTATTATTCCTGGTGTAGCAATGTCTTAGAAGTCATCAAAACAAACATGTATAACTCGATCAACAATGAAATTAGAGTTTATAGCTTTAGATAAAATTGGAGAAGCAGAATGATTTCGTAATTTTTTAGAGGACATTCCATGTTTGCCTAAACATGTGCTTGCTATTGGTATGCATTGTGATAGTTAGTCGGCATGTATAATTTTAAGTCTAGATATATACATCGTAGACACAATACTATTAAGTAGTTGATCTCAAATGGTATTATTTTCATTGATATGTAAAATAAAAAGAGAATCTTGAGAATCTACTTACAAAAGATTTGGCCAAAGATCAGGTTTACTATCTGTCAAAGGAAATGAACTTAAAGCCTACTATGTAGGAGTCATAATGGTAACCCAATATTGTTGACTGGAGATCCCAATATCTTGGTTCAATAGGACAACTATGTTATGAAGATTCTATGAAGCCCTTGGGAGTTATCTTCTATGTATTCCTATGATTAAAAAAAAAAGTATTTCTATCGAATGTACGATTTTAAATTCCACTTTTAATGATCCCTATAACTTGGATAAATCAAGTGGAATATGGCATAATACACATCACCTATGTAAGTGTGAAGTTGGGCCACTTTTATGAAAATTTGTAAGATTGGAATTCTCTAAAACATTTATGAAACCAAAAGTTGTTCAGGATTAAAATGGACACAACCATAAGAACCAAAAGTGTTAGGAAAGATATCGTGTGAGTACTATTGTCTTGGTTTACACTAACGATTGAATAATCTATAACATCATGTTTGCTGATTAGCCAAGTAAATTTGATATTATTTTACTAAGACAAGGTCAAAGTCAAAAGTTACCTCTCCTATTGGAATAGTTTTCGGTCTATGGCATTTGCATTATCATTTTTATTTTCTTGTAATTTCCATTCACTTAAGAGATTGCTGGAAATGGGTTTAAAATTAGGTTGATTTTTAATCATTTTTGACCAAATAGTAGGATAGATTTCGTTAATCAATTCATGTGGATGAATGGTCAATTGCGTCCTACTCCATGAATAGATGATTGGGGTATATTTGAATTCGTAAAACCATTTTGGAAAGAATAAGAAAATAATCCTTAAACTAAGGATGTTGAACTGGAGAAATTAGAATATGAAAGGAACAATGTTTAAACTTTGTTCTACTTGGGAAAAAGGACCCAGTGACTTGTTTATTATGGGGTGTTTGACAGGTATTTTTATGTAAAAATGCATTTTAGAATAGTAAATTGATGTGAAATGTGTGGTTGAGAAATAAGGAAAAATTTTTGATTTACGTGTAATATTATTTTAATAAAAAATGTGTGGTTCAAAAGAAGAGAGGGAAAAATGCATTTTGAAAAAAAATGGCTACCAAACGGGGCCTTAATCTCATCCTCAAGACATGGATCTGGGCCCCAAAGGTTACCATGTGTACGGGTCATGAGTCATGGGTCATAGTTAGATGGGCTTGGATATGGGCCTTAACCTATATATTCTTTTTTTATAAATAAATGATTTATTTATTTATTAGTTAATTAATTCTTTAGATGATTAATTAAATTTTTGAAAATTCCAATTGATGCTTGAGTAGAATCGAGGTGTGGGACGAGTGCCTGTTGAAAACTCGAGTGATTTTTCTATGTAAAAGATATGGCGCTTGAGCAGGTTTTCTAGGAAAAATTATGTATGTTCAAGCAAGGTATTATCTGTGAGTTGTGTCACTTTGAACACAACATTTGACTTCTTACAGGTAGGGCCATGTTCTGCATAATTCATATCATTCATAAACATTATATTCTCAAAATTTCTTTTTATTTAGAGAGTACATAACATATTTAGAGAGTTCATCATTCTTGTTATTTGAACTGCTTCCACAACAAGAAAAAGGTCATTGTATCTTGGAAGACAATTGCTAACATACCGTAAGCACCAGGACATAACAAATCCGTCTTAAAAAGATAAAGTCGAAAACTAGCGTCGGTTTACCATATTCATCTTGCATATTTTATTTCTGTGGTTTGTTTTATTATTTCAAGTAAGTAGTTTACTTTTTTTTTTATTTTAGAATATAGATTATATTTTCATTCTACTATTTACGCAACATATAGAACTGCTTATGTCCATTATAGACAATCTACTCACAGTATATTGTGTGTTATTGCTAAGCATTGAGCCATTATATAACTAGAAAAATGAGTAAGGTGCTTACAAGGTAAATCCAATTTATTAATAAAGACAAAATATGTAGAGAGTTTTACAGCTGACATTACCGTGGATATAACTCACTCATTGTAGCATCATTTATCGACAAACAAGCAGAATTAGATGACCAACTGTTTGATGATTTTTTGGTCTGTGATGGTGTTGATTTGAGGTCTTGAAGAAGCGGAATTTTTGGATCTAAGTTACTAGACACAAAAAATGCAGGTTGTGAAGGTATTGGTAGAGTTATAGAAAAGCTAGTGAGCATAAGAACTATTGATGTCATTGTAGGTCTGTCAGCTGCATCTTGCTGAACACATAATAAACCAATTTGAATGCATCGGATAATGTCTTGCAAGGATCGTGAAGAAGTTCTCAACGCGGAATCTATTACATTTTCTGCTGTTCCTTCGTGCCAATTTTTCCAAGCCTGCGAGAATTTGACATTTTTAACAATATAATATTCAAAATTAACGTTGCCTTCTTCAAAAAGATGAAAAAGACTTATTTTTACTTACACAACTTAGGAGGCCGTCCACATTCTCCCCATTTTGGAAGCTATTAACTTTTTGACCACTTATGACTTCCAGAACTAGGACGCCAAAGCTGAAGACATCTGATTTGCTAGAGAATTGTCCATGAAATGCGTACTCAGGTGCCATATATCCACTGCAATGGTGAGTTTGAAGGTCTATAGTCAGTTAACAATTTATGGATATATACAGATATGTTTAATAAGATACATGAATTGTCAACAGTACTTCTTTATTGCTTTTCATGCATAACAATAATCCTATGAGACCAAGCATTTTTGAAGAAATCTTACTATGTTCCTACTATCCTACTAGTACTGCAATGAGTTTGGTCTTGGACGCACAATCTCGCCATGCCAAAATCTGATATTTTGGGATTAATCTTTCCATCTAACAAGATATTGCCAGCTTTAAGATCACGATGTATGATCTTGAGTCGAGAGTCTTCGTGTAGATAAAGAACTCCCTTAGCAATGCCCCTTATGATTTCATAGCGTCTATCCCAATCCAAATTTGGACGCTTGATTGGATCTACAAGTTCAAATAGGTAGATGATGTTGTGAGGAATCAAAGACGACAATTATTCTTAAAATGACTAGCAATTACATGTATAAGCAATTTGTTGTAAAAAAAAAATAGGATTTACTTCAAATGGAATGTTACCAAATAAGAAATGGTCAAGACTTCCATTCTCGACAAATTCATTTACAAGAAGTCGCTCGCTTCCTTTTAGAGAGAAACCTAAGAGCCTTACTAGATTCACGTGTTGAAGACTCGCCACTAACATGACCTCATTCTTAAATTCAAGATCACCTTGCCTTGAATTCATAGACAATCTTTTCACAGCTATTTCTTGCCCACTGACAAGTATTCCCTGAAATTAAAAATTTAACGAGTAAAATATTATTAAATATCCTCATCAATGTATGATTTGGATAAATGCCAATACTCTAAACTAATATTTGAGTTACTTTATTACATAGCAATGTTCTACTCATATATATTGTAAAAATCCTTTAATAATTACGTACCTTGTAAACAATGCCAAATCCACCTTGTCCAAGCACGTTAGCATCAGAGAAATTATCTGTTGCAGCTCTAATTGTATCGAATTCATAGTTCAGGGATTCAACAGTACTAATTTCATTGTGAGCTTGAAACGTATAAAAGGAAATTTTAGGTGAAACAAAACTAGATAAAGATTTATGTACGTATAGGAGTAGATATATCTAAAGAATATTGAGCTTACTTTCAACTTTTTCCATCAGTTTTTGATTTTGTCTAAACCTTAGGAAGATACCAATGCAAAGAGCAACTATTAGACCCACAACAATTGGAACAATAATAATAATGATAGTTCGAGTTGTATTTTCATTCTTTCCTGCAATATCAGAAGAAAATCGCGTCAATATATCTTTAAGATTATTGCTTTGAATTTTTATGTTAGTTTGATCAAATCTAAAAATTTTCTAGGAATGGTTTGGAAGGATTAAATAGTGTAATGAACAACTTTTTAAATTTTTTTCTTCTTTAATATTATTCAATAGTGTCCAAACATGCTATTAATGTCATTTGATAATTAGATTACAAGACTGTTCTTAACTATATGGTGATGAGTATATAGAAGTAGCATCTCTTATATAAGGATTCTGCTATTTGTATATAAAAATGATACATAAGAGATTACATAAAATGATGTGGAGAGGAAAGATTGGATGAAAAAGTTGTTTGTATTTTAAACTGACAAATGATAGAGTGTCATGTGATATTATGTAATCCTTTATGTAAACATTTATGTACATGTAACAAGATTACGCCAAAATGGAAGTCAAAAGTATTTTCTCACCTTGTGGTGCCGGCCGTGGTGGTGTGGGTAGTGACATTGGTGGTGGTGGTGGCGGCGGCGGCGGCAGAGAAGAATCATTATAAAACAAATAGGTTTCATAGCGAAGAAGGCAGCTGGGGCAATATACTCCGAATCCTTGTTTCCCATTACAACATCGTGGTATAATCTCAGCAACCTGGATTAAGCAATCACTACAATCATCTGAGCTTAAATCAGGAGTGCACTGTACTAGTCCATAAAGTGTCAAACCATCGGGAGCAGCACTCTTGGTAGCTGCAAACTTCTTGGAAGCGCCACCGTAAACGGCCTGTCTGCGGAGATTATCCAACAATGTTCTCAAATCCCTGTTGAACTCTTCCCGACTGGGGGAATCGAATACTACATACCACTCATGGCGTGGGTCAGTTGCAAGTTGTCCAAATATTGACTCATTGGAGTAGCGTACCATGCATTGATCAGCCCGTACCCAAATGATCGCTTGTTTTTGGTTAGGACAGAACTGTAAGAGGGAATTCGTAGCATTATTGATACAACTACGACATGTATCAAGCTGATGGTCTCCTCTACAGAGTCCCATTGCATGTACTCTATCGGAATTTTCTCCATATGAGGCACTGTAAAATCCATTGACATCAATTAAAGAAGAGATAGAGAGGAGGAGGTTATCGAGATTTCTCTTGTACGGGCTATTACTCGTGTAATTACCATTGTTGAGACACCAATGACGGGATTTAACCGTAGATAGAAAGTTTGTCAGATTTAGGAAAATGATCAAAGCAAGCCGTATCCAAGAACTCATAACTGCAGTTTGTATTCGTGTCTAACATGGAAAGAATATAAATAGAACTAGAATTGCTATGCTTTAGTATCAAGAAACTGTTGACTTATAAGAATCAATTTTCGATGGTCAACCAATTTTTTCCTTCATAAAGACATATAGAATATGTCGAAAAAGTTGATAAGTGACAGTGTGGAAAAGTCGATGCATACGTGAATACAACGACAACAAAATAAACATTATTTTTAAATAATAAAAAATTAGGTATACGGATTATTTTATGTTTGTGTAATTATCTTAGGCTTCCATCAAGTCAATATGTAGATTGATTATTATTTTTGAGAAAAAACCGTCTATAAATCATATGATTTGTTTGATCTTTAGAAATATTCCGAATTGCTTGTTTGATTTTATTTTATTTTTTGGGGCTTTGATTCTATTTTCAGCCCTTGTTTAGCTACTATTTACAAATTGTTCATAATTGATAAAATTACTTTTTATTCAAATATATATTATGAAATATACAAGTACTATCATTTATTTCTATCTATTTATAATTTAAATAATCTATAAACAAGAGCTGTGCTATGTGTACATGATGGACCAAACATGCGCAATCTTAATATTTATCTTAAAGGCCAACATTAATAAGTTGTCTTAATCAAATACTTATATTTTTTTTTTCCGGGACCTTAATTACAATACATACTGAGAAATTAAAAAAGTATTCATGAAATAATCTAAATCATAATTACGCTTAGGTTTGATTCCTACCGAAATTCATTAAATTAAAATGTGTATCATTTATTCATGTCTCGTAGTTGATCCAATTATTTAATAAACATGTGAATTAAATAGTGATAGAGAGTACTGAATTTGTTTCAAAAAAAAATTTTCTACATACTTATTTTTAACCACACATTCACATAATAAAATATTCTATACGTAAACTAAAACTTGTTCCTACTCTTTTACCAAACATTCTTTAAAAATCACTATTCAAAACTCCATTTTCTACAAATAATGATTGTCAAACTGGGGCTAAGTACTCCGAGAGTACTAAAAATTCTCCCCTTTAATAAATTATTTTAATTGTGAACATGTGCATATATTCCTAATCTTTTAGTATTTAAGTCAAATCTTAAGGAGATTGTACCCTGCCAACGTCTTTGCCACGGTAGTTTTCAACGTCAGTGATAAATTAGCCATTATTTTCCGGTATTTTTTATCTTCAACAATTGGCGAGGACTTAGATAATGTGCAGGAAAAGAAGAGGAAAGGGCTTCTTATTTTCCCATACTGACCATTTCAAATATATTTTTCTTCTTTTATCACCAAGTGAAATCTTAATTAGATTGTACCCTCGCCAACGTCTTCGCCACGGTAGTCAACGTCAGTGATAAATTAGCCATTATTTTCCAGTCTAAAGATTGACTTTTTATCTTCAACAATTGGCGAGGACTTAGATAATGTGCAGGAAAAGAAAAAGAAAGGGCATATTGACCATATCAAATATATTTTTCTTCTTTCCACACCACCAAATCGATGAGGCAAATTTATTTTTTGCAAATAACAAATTGTAAAAATCAGACTTTCGCCTAATGGATACGACGTGTGAATATGGAGAAATCATAAACAAAATTGAATAGTATTGAAATCTTTTTATGAGAGGCTAATGGGGCTAGTCCTCAAAGATTAGAAGGTAACTTATCGAGTGGAAATTTCAGACTTATTGTAACATTGGAAAGGTACTTTGAAACTTTTTTATGTTTGACAATTAATACATATACGAGGTTAGTTACCCGAGGGAACACAACAATAACTTTTTTCTCCTTTAACAAATTAATTTATTTTGATGGGAATGCCCAAGTTGTCGAAGCCAAATAGTTCAAATCGAAGCCAAAATTAATTACTTTTAACAAAGTAATAAACTTTGGACACATCAGTAACTTTTTTCTCCCTTAGTTTGATAAAAGACGCCATCCAAGTAGGAATGGCAATTGGCTTCCAGTTATCAAATGGTCAACTGTGAAAAGTATTAACTTAAACTTCAAGTAAATATTTAACTTATTAATATTAGATTTTATGCAAAAAAATCACTCATAAATAAAATATTGCTTAGAAGTAAAAAATTACATACATTATAAATTTAAAATTTCACAAAGGAACATATATGTAATCTTATTATTATAAAAAACTTTCAACGGTGATGATAAACTCTCAAGTATGGGTTGAACTCTTTTTAAAATTGCTACTAAAATCAATCAAAATTGGTCCGTTCATAAAAACTCAAAATCGATTCTTTGAAAAACACTCATAATTAGTATCCAAAACTCCCAAGCATGCCCAAATACCCTTGTTCAGAGGGGATTAAAATCGATTTTTTAGTACATTTTGACAAAAAAAGATGATGAAATATGTGATTTAAAAGTTGTGGGTCCATGAAATATGTGATTAAAATTAATTGTTGACTTTGATTTAAATTAAAATCAATGTTTTAATCATTACCAAATATGGCTAAAACTTTGTAGCCATGTTATGTGGATTTAATATAAAGATTATTGTTACGAAGTTGATCCTTTGACTTTGGCATTCTTGGCAAATTGAAATAATTGATAAAGGCTTTAATCAAGGGAGGTCATTGAGATTCTCACTCGATGTTTTGGAAATCAATCTGAGCATGGATCTGGAAGAATAAAGGATCGAAGATCAAAAAATCGAATTGAGTTGGATCGAGGTCAAACCGATTATTATAAATTAAGAAATAAATATACCAAAAAATTTGAGAAAAAAAATAATTTTTAAAATAAATCAATAACTGTAGCTAAATGACTTTACATTTAATTTTCATTATGTGCACTTCTAATCTCAACAAAATGAGACAATAGACATAGCTAAAGTTTGAATACATAAGTTATATGGCATTTTGGCATGTGTTTCAATACATAAAAGTTACTTTTCAATGTTAAAATTTAATTTTAATCACACATTTCAAAGGGAAAAAAATTTTATTTTGAGGAACAAATATTCTTATACAACTTTTCAAATCAAAATAGCGCTTCATTCTTTAAAGTAATCCCAAAAGGTTTTAAAAACTTTAAAGGCTTGAAGGATGTCCATTTGTAATATTAAGCAATCCCACATTGAAATTAGGAAGGAAAAATGTTAAAGAAATCAACTATAAGATGAACAGAATATGGTAGGGGAATAATAATTTCTAGGCCTTCAACATTTTTTACAGTAGGCTCAGAAATTTTATTTAGGGAAAAGAATAATCTAGATTTAAAAATATAATTTCAACTTTGATAAAATTTTATCTGTGTTTGTGTTAGATAAAGAAAAATATTTAAAAAGATTCTACCTTAAATCAAATAATCGTTTACACATTCCTTCCAAAAATCTGATGGCAATAACTAATAGGTAATTAAAGAGGCTAAGATCGCAATAACATATGATCACAGACATCAAACGCCATAGTTACAAATTACAAATTTTATAGGTCACAACTTATGATCGATCACAATTTATCAAATTTATTTCTTGATCACAAGTAAATTTTATATATCACAACGTATTTTACGACTACAAAATTATCAAATTAATTGATCATAAGTTATTTCACCGTCACAAATTATCAAATTAATTTAGCACAACTTATTTGTTGGTCAGGATGATGCAAATTGCATGTCATAATTATAAACCAAACCATTTAAAGCAGTTTTGAGAAAATTTTCAAATCAAACCATTTAAAGTGGTTTGGAGAAACTTCAAACCAAACCAAATCACTTCAATTTATAAACCAAACCAATCCAAACATTTTTTAGGTTTGGTTCGGCTCAAAGTCATGGTTTAACAATGAAAAAATTAATATATATTATATAAGTTAAATCATAAATACTAGTCTAAAATTTCATGTTAAAACATAAATTGTATTATTAAAAAAATTACAAATTAAAGTTATATAATTATAATTATTATAATGCAACAACATGATATAAATATTTTAAAGTCTTAGTCGATACTAATAGCGTCCATATGCAATTGTAATACACGATTAATTTTTTTCATAAATAAAAAAATATAGTACATGAATATATTGATTATAGTTAAATAATATAAAATAACTAAAAAAAGAAAATAATTAAAAAATCAAATACAATAATACCTAACTACTGTGATTTTGTGTGAATTGTCTAGAGCTTCAACATCATCCAAATATTAGCAAATTAAAGGGAGCCGGACAATTATTAGAATGAAACAACATAACTACCAATAAAAACATAGAAAAAATCACCCAAAAAATGGATAATCTGACTAGAATTTAAACAAAATATGAGAAAATTGTTAGTAGAAGGAAATGAAATGTGGAAGTTTGAATTAAAATTTAGATTTAATTGTCTATTCAATTGTAATGGAGGATCAATGAATATGGCTTAATAGTAGTTATTCAACCCTTTACCCAATTTGAGGGTTTTACATTCACGGTTTTGATGATTGGTATGTATTCAAATATGATTTAATTAATTAATTAATTGAGATGTATAATAGTCGAATTTAATTTAATTGAATTATGTCTAATATGGACGTATCTTTTTAACTGAAATGTGTTAAGTTTTAATTGGGTTAAATAAAATTTAGATTAATTTATTTTCAAACTTTTTTTTTTTTTTTGGTAAATAGTTTGACAGTTTGAAACGTTCACAAAGATTGAAACCTAAACCAAACCATTTCGAAGTAGTTTGGTTTGGTTCAAAACCAAAACATTAACGAATCCACGTGAAACCAAACCAAAGGTTTTAGAAAAATGATTTCGATTAGGTTTGGCTGTTTGGAAGCTTGGTTGTTCAGCTCTAATAATTGATCTTCATCCGCAGCACTACTGTTGGACATTTTGGTAAGTGATGCTCAAATCTCCTAGGCAATGATGAAAAACCAAGGCTCGATTATCTTCATAGGCTATAAGCCCGGGATTGAAGAATATTAAATCCACACCACAATTGATAGTAGCTCAATTATGCTGAGTATTTAGAGAAAATCAGCCCACTGGACTAGGTGCT